GTCCAACTCCAGAGCTACCAGAGCGTCCTCCTCGTGGAGCGGAGATAGCGGGATAGTTCCCAAGGAAAAACCTCAATCTCCAGGCTCCATTCCGAGTGAAGATCCTCAAGTGATTCATGGATGGCTCCCCACATATATAGAAGTGAAATTTTTATATATTCATAAATTTTTATATATGGATCTTGTCTCCTACACACTTAATAAACTCATTTATTAGTTCTGATAGCATTCTGTGCTGTTAGAGTTCCACCAGAGTTTCTGCACTGAAACGTGCGTCATCTGTGAGTAACAATAGTTTCTGCTCCTTCCACGAGTTGCACTTTTCTGAGTGGCCTGGCTAGAACTCCCATTGGAGTGCTACCAATGAGTGCTGAGGAGACACCTGCTCTTAGGGCAAAGCATTCAGTCTTTCACCATTATGTCAGATGTCACTTATAGGTCCTTTATAGACGGCCTTTGTCATGTTGGGGACATTCCTTTCTATTCTGAGATTGGCAAGAGGGTTTGCTTTGTTTTGATTATTTCTCTCTTTTGGGAATGGATATTGTATCTTTTCAAATTTTTTCTGAATGCATTAGGATAATTGTGGGAGGCCAAAGTAGCACGTGGCTGAGTCTGTCTCCCCTTCTGATTGGTGTGACATCGTGGGTCAACCCTGCCGATAGCCCCAATCTTTAGGGTCCGAGCGACTATGTCTTCTCGCATGGGCGTGCCTTCCTACATCCCCACGGGGGCGGGAGCTATGCTCACCTGTTCCTTTGTAATATCACCCCTTGCCCTGTTTGGGATAGAATGTTCCAGGGAAACACCTTTTGTGTGTCCCCTTCTCTTACTGTGCCCTTGGGTGGGGCCTACCCAGGTGTCAGTCAACCTGCTGACAGTGGACATCATGAAGATAGACTCAGCCCCCTGAAACCTGACCCCTGGCCTCATTTGAATGGCTTCTCATCAATAAAAGGGGTCAGCACTTGCTCTCTCTCTTTCTGCGGACCCTTAAGGTCAGAGGAGCCGTCACAGCGAGCCCATAGAAAAAGGTATCTCTGTCTCTTGTGTGGTTATTTCACACGGCCCAGTTAGCCCAGTTCCCCTGGAGTGACTCCTGAGTGTTTGTCTCTAGCAACCCAGCAAATGGCTCCCTGGGTGGGCAAAAAGTCTGAATGTTTAAGTCGCCGGGAAAGCGACGGGTAATGATATTGGGTTTTATTTTTAGTTTTTTAATATTGGAGATTATATTAGTTTTGTTAAAGCAACTACTTTCCTGAAATAAACTCCACTTGGTCCTTTTACTATATAATTGGATTCAATTAGTTAAAACTTGGTAGTGTTTGTTTGTTTATTTGGTAGTATTGGAGATCGACCCAGGGGTGCTTTACCACTGAGCTACACTCCCAGGTCTTTTTATTTTTTATTTTGGTTCAGGGTCTCACTAGGTGGCTGAGGCTGCCTTGAATTTGCCATCATCCCAAGCCACCAGGATTATAGGCATATGCCACCATACCCAGCTAAAATCCGGTTTTGAAAATGTTTGCACATTTGCATTGGCAAAGAACTCAAATCCAGAACTGATACACAACTCCTACGGTGCAATAAAAGACAAACAACCAACAAAACGTGGACAAGAGGCTCAAAGTCAAAAAAAACACCCAGCAAAAAGATGCTCCCATGTGACCATTTGTGGGCACTGACAGGGCCACCCCACAAAGAAGGCACACCCATGGGTTGAGCATAGAGGGCACGCTCACAACCATCCATGAGAGCTACCAGGTCCATCTTCCCGGGTTTTGTCCACATCCTTTCAGACTCCCTACCAGCCTCTCCCTGCCAATGACCTCTTCCACCTGCGCTTTCAGCATCTCTACGGCAGGGACAGTGGTGCTTTTCGTAAGGGGAGCTGTGTTAAGCCAGGCTATGCAGACTGGGTGCCCGGGTGCTGCCTGCCTCAACACTGCTCAGGCACACACCCTTGTTCATCTGCGCTTCTGACTGCTGGTGACTCTTGGCCATGTGCTTGCTGCCCACTGTTCTCCTCTGTGGATGGCTTTTTCAAACACACGGTTTGTGGGCCACCGTGCCCTGGTCCCTCTGCAGTGGGATGGAGACAGCTTGTTAGACCAGGACGCAAGAAAAGACCACTGACTCCAATTAAAATCAAATTAAAGCAAGCTTATTATTTCGACCGGCCGGGCTGCCTTTCCCTCTCAAAACGGCGGGAACAAGACAGCCCCGAGGCTTCTTTGTGGCCCAGTTTTATAGCCCAAAAAGTTACACAAAGGGGGTTACAGATAACAGAACTCTGACAAGCATCACACTAATGGTAGTTTACATTTTTGCTGGCCCGGCATCAGAATTTATGGAGATCTTAGAGACTCAGAGAGGGTCGTTATCTGGCCAGGGAGGGCCAGAATTTATGAGGCGTCACTAAGGTTTAGGAAAGGGTTGTTATATGGTCAGGGAAAACCGGACCTGGGTGAGTTCAGGGCACGGGCAGGCATTCCAATCAGCTTTACAACATCAACTAATGGCCAGGCCATACAGACATCCTGATATTTTTACAGAAAACAGAAATGAATCCTTCATAACTTGTGACAAGCTGGCTTCTAAACGAATGAGATAACTAGGCTAGGTATATCAAGCTCTACCTCAGGGACTGGCAGAGCTCTCTGGAAAGACTGATGGCCTGTCTTCTGGCTTTCCTGGACCATGCAGTCTTTTGCATCTTTTAACTCCTCACAGAGTTAGAGCTGCCAGAGACTGCATGAAAAGAGCGGGCGTGGCTTACCCAATGAAACTTCACACAGATGCTGCCAGAGATGGCCTGTGGGCCACAGCCTGCCACCCACACGTTATGTGCCTGATAGCGCCATGTTATGTGCTTTCCTGCTCTCCTGCCAGGCACCACTGTAATTCTTGCCACTCCTCCTGGGGTAGGTACTTTGACTCCTCTAAGGGTTTTGCACTTCCTAATCATGCTGGTTTCGCACATCTCTTACTTTTGTGGTGTGAACTGATCAATGCCATCAATAAGTTGTAGGTCAGAGACTGTAGGAATAAGGTTCTGATAAGTAAGATCAGGCACGAGGTGACGAGTTACTGATCCTGGTCACGTAAAGCAAGTGCTGTGGTAAGACTACCTGATCCCCCTGATCACTTGTCACCTCCCCTCCTGGCTGGAGCCACGGAGTGGAGTCACTGTGGCTCTATGAGCAGGCAGCTGTGGCCGCAGGGACTCTGTCTCAGCTGTTCTAGAATCCATCTTAGCTGCAGGACCCATTTCTGAGAAAACAAAATGAAAGCTATTTTCTGCTAAATTAAAAAAAAATATTGTCTTCTGTATTTTTTGTCAACAAAATGTACTCAACCCAGGATATGGTGGTCTTGGTGACTTAGATGTCTTTGAAGTAGATTCTTGCCCCCCRCCGACCACCTGCTCGACRGTTGTCTGGCACCTACTCGGACCCAAGGTGGGGCTGACTGACTGAGTGTTCTGCCTTTTTTTTTTTTAAAGAGAGAGAGAATTTTTTTTAATATGTATTTTTTAGTTCTTGGCGGACACAACATCTTTGTTGGTATGTGGTGCTGAGGATGGAACCCGGTTGGAGCTGATTTGCGTTTTCAGCTCACGACCCTGTTCGGTGAAGTGCTCCCGACATCTGGGTTCTCTAGTCACTGGCAGAACCTTGCTCGCGACCCCTCTTTTCTGTTCTCACCTGGAATCGTTGGGACGGGAGAAGGGTCTGTGCGGGCGACCGGGAGAGCGAGGAGCCCCCACCCCCCACCCCCACCCCCACCCCCCCGCGAGGAGGTGCCTGCCCCCCAGAAGCCTCCAGGCCAGTGCCCCCCACCTGCCAATGTCTTGGCTGGGCACAAGATCAGAGCCACTCACAGCTTTGTGGATTCAAACAGCAATTCTTTATTCCTGAACTCACACCGGCCTCCACACACGTTCAGGGGAAATCTCATTCTGCCCGCACAATTCACATCCCAAAAATACTTTCTCAATTCCAGGAGAACTCATCGGGAACTCAGGCAGCGGGAACGCCCTATTCCCAGCAGCAATAAACTTAAACCTGGAACTTCCCTAAACCCCATTGTCTTAAACCCGGAACGCCGTAAACCCAAGGAGCGGGATACTTCCTCAAACCTGATCAGCTCTAAACCCGGATCCGCCCTGGTCTTTGAGCAGGTCACCTTACTAAAGCATACATGCAATGTCCCATCTAGTGTCCTCTCAGCAACATGGGGTACGCTGGCAAGGAAATTTCCATGCGTCATTCCTACTTGACAGTGGCCCTCAGCACCCACCGCCCCCTCCCAAGGATCCTTCAGGCTAGTGCCCCCGGGCAAGGATCCTCTGATGAGGTGCCCCAGGGCGAGTGGCCAAGGACCCTCCAGGCGAGGTGCCCCCAGGTGAGGTGCCCCTGCAAACCAGTCCAGGTCCGGCATGAAGTGCAGTGTCCCCCGAAGTCGCTGAGGTCCTTCAGTGAGATTTCAGAATTGGGACGACAGAGACAGAGCGATCGTATCCCCACGGACGCATGGCCAGTGCTCCCAGCTACCTGCCACTTTGATCATGTGAAAAGGAATCTCCGAATCCATACCACTTACCTACTGTGTGAAACCTCCAGATAAGGACCACTTTCTAACATAGCCATAATCCCATAATAGGCACTAAAAAAAACTAAAACCTGCTTTATTTACATCATTAACTATTTGGTATTCCATGTCATTATCTCATTTTAATAGTTTTTTAAAATCAGGATAAAATGAAAATCCACACTTTGTGATTATCATTCTGAGATATGATTCACACCATACAATTCATGAGTTTGAAGTATGCAATTTAATGGTTTTTTTGTATATTCAGACTTGTGCAAAACCACCAAAATGAATTGTACAATTTAATTACCCCAGAAATACAGGCTGCACCCCTTAGTCATCACCCCCCGCCCCGCCCCGCCCAGGGAAGCCTGTTTGGTTTGAATGCTTCTCCAGACCTTCATTTACACCTTTCCTATGTTTTCATTTCTCCCGGTTCCGCCCAGGAGTGGAATTACCAGGTCCCATGGTGAGTCTACCCTTAACCTTTCAAGGAATGACAGACGGGTTTCCTTTCTGCATTGGCACCAACAGACTCCCACATCCTCCCCGTGCTTCCTCCTCCTCCTCCTCCTCACTTCACTGCCCTTTCCAAACATTTTTAATGGTGAAAATTTTGAGCACTACATACCAAGAGGACCGCCCAGGACTGACCAGGTGCCCGTCCTATTCCAACAGTCATCAGCACCTGGCCTGTGTGCCTCACTTCTCTCTTGACCATTAAGTCTCTGGATCCTCACAGAAATGATGAGCCCCAGACAGGCCGCCCTGGCGTCTTCTGTGAAGACGGGTTCTAGAGGCTGCGGGGCTGGCCTGCGGGGACACCTCCTCCAGGGCACCTGGCCCTGCCTTTCCCGCTGAGCCCCGTGTCCTTGCCTCAGCCAGGCCAGGGCGTTCTGCTCAGGCCTCAGCAAGATGACGTAGCACTTGGGGATGAAGGTTCCCCCAGAAGCCCTGAAGTGGGGGCCAGGGTGGAGAAGGTCTGCACCGCACAGTGGACTTGCCCGGGCACTGCGGTACGGGGCAGGAAGGCTGTCCAGACCCTGCAGAACAGCAGCATGCTGAAGGTCAGGAACTGGGCCTCACTGAAGGCATCAGGCAGACCCCTGGCCAGGAAGGCCACAGAGAAGGTGCCCCCCGCGAGGAGGCCAGAGAGCCCAGCACACAGGTGAAGGCGATGCCGGAGCCCTCCTGGCACCGGAGGACAGTGAGACTGGGCTCAGAGTCCAAGTCCCTGTCTGGGAATGGTGGGGAGGGGCCCAGCCACACCCCACAGAGAGCAGCCTGTGTTAGGGAGGCAATGAGGACCACTGAGGAGGAGGCACGGCGTCCTAGGCACACCCGGGCCCTGGACCCTGGCCTSGTGACTGAAGGCTGGGGCCACAGTAGGGGTCTTGGCCAGGACGGAGGAAAGAGCCACAGTGAACACAACAGCAAAGGTGGTCTGGCGGAGGAGGCAGGTGACAGCGGTGGGACACAGGGCACCAAGGAGGCCAGCAGCACCTAGCTGAGGGCTCTGTTGTTGGCCCTGACCCTGGGTGTGTCCTGGTGCCTCAGGAACACCCCAAGGACCAGCACTGCCAGGCAGCCAGCAGGACTGCTGCACAGCCAGCATGAGTCCCAGGGGTGCGTCAAAAGTCAGGAAGGTCTCTGCCCTGGGCACGCAGCGGTCTCTGGGCACTTAAGACACTGCTTCACGTCTGTGGGAAACAGAGATCCCAGGGTACGATGGCACCGACTCTGAGGGGAGCCATGCAGCAGTGCGGGACAAGTGGTTCACACCCATCCATGTGGCTGCTGGGTGGGGACGTTAGAGCCGGGGCCCAAGGGGGAATGCACGCCCAGCGTACAGGAGTCAGAGGTTTTCCAGGTGCTCGATTTCCCAGCAGTGGCGAGAAGTGTTCTTAGCCCCTGCCGTAGGCCTAGCTGTGCCTCCCAGAATCACCTCAGAATGGGGTTGAGACAGGTAAGGTGGAGGTGAGGGGGTAAGGTGAAGGCCCTCCTCTATCTGCCTGCTGTCCCTCTGAGAAGGGGGTTAGGACACAGACGCGCAGGGCTGGTGTGGAAGGACAGGAGAAGGTGCCATCTAAAGGCCAAGCAGGTATTCTCTGGAGAAGGGACTCTACCTCACCTTGGCCTCAGACTTCCAGGCTCCTGCACCAGAACCTGGATTTCTGTTGCTTCAGCCGCCCGACAGTGGTACCGCAGCACACAGCCATGGGGTGGACCTCACAGCATAAAGCAGAGGGAAATGCGGGTCGAGGAAGACCCTAGTTGTGCCATCCCCCTTACAGCAGGTCAGACCTGCCTCTCCAGGAGGTGGGAGGTGGGTCCCAAGGGCAATGGGCAGGAGGGCCAGAGGGGTAGCTCCTGCTCTTCTCTTTTTTGGAATCCATGGACACTCTAACACTGAGGCACATCCCCAGCCCTTTCTATTTTTAATTTTGAGATAGGGTTTGGATAAGTTGCTGAGGCTGGCCTTGAACTTGCAATTCTCCTGCCTCAGCCTCCCAAGCCACTGGGATTACAGGTGTGTGCTGACCACCCCCCTACACCAGCTTCCTGCTCTGTCTACCAACCAGGGCCAGGGCCAGGGCCAGGGCCAGCATCTATGAGGTGGGACTCATCAGGCGCCATGAGTTGACCATGCACCTGTCCATATCGACAGCTCAACAACAGGCTACGTAAAAACCACTGCAGGAGTGTGTCCTGGCCAGCAAGATGCACCAAAAAGGCTGTGTGCCACAGCTGCCTGGACCGGGAACCTGAGAGGCCAGCAGGGCACCGCCCTGGTTTCACCTCCTCCCACCCTCACCTGTGTGGTCTGCAAACTGGCCTCAGGGCAGGGGCTGCCCTGGAAACAGCCATGAGGGGCTCCCTGTCGGGGGGTCTGGCTGAACCTGGAGCACAATTCCTGCTGCAGTCAGAGCTGGGCACCTGAAGACGAAGAGCAGGTGTCACCAGTGACCAGGCAGGGCACAGGTCCCTGGTGTGGGCAAGCCTGCCCGGAGAAGCAAACTGGAGTCCTTCCCACCCACAAAACAGGCGCCTCTCAGGACTGATGTCTCTGTCTCATCAGAAGCCAGGCTGGAGCCGTCCCAGGAGTGCGGGGAGGTGCGCCCCCTCCACAGGGCCACCTGGCCTGCCTGGTGGTGGAGCTGACCAGAACAGTCTCCCAGGCACTCTGCCATCAGAGACCATTGGCTCTGACCACACATGCACACACCCCATGACACACTGAAGCACACCCACCAACACTCACAGACTTGCACACACATGCTCACACCCACATTCACCCAACCACCCACACACTCTCACACTTGTACACACTAACACACATGCACTGTCAGGCACACACGCAACCAACCACACACACACTTGTACACACTAACACACATGCACTGTCAGGCACACACGCAACCAACCACACACACACTTGTACACACTAACACACATGCACTGTCAGGCACACACGCAACCAACCACACACACACTTGTACACACTAACACACATGCACTGTCAGGCACACACGCAACCAACCACACACACACTTGTACACACTAACACACATGCACTGTCAGGCACACACGCAACCAACCACACACACACTTGTACACACACACATGCACAGTCAGGCACACACGCAACCAACCACACACACACTTGTACACACACACATGCACAGTCAGGCACACACGCAACCAACCACACACACACTTGTACACACACACATGCACAGTCAGGCACACACGCAACCAACCACACACACACACTTGTACACACTAACACACATGCACAGTCAGGCATGCACGCAACCAACCACACACACACACCCACACTCATGCACACTCACACGCACACGGATCCTTTGGAGGGTCCACCCCCTAACTGTGCACCCACATATGCCCACACACATGCACACGCACACACACACACACACAAGTGGGCAGGCACTGCAGCGGCACGCCAATCAATATAAGGGGTGGATCTGCCTCCCTTGGCCCAGTGCCCCCTAGAGAAGAATTATTACAGGGGACTTTAGGGACAATGATGAATTGAGAGAAGTGTGGGGTGCAGGGCTCCCCCTTCAGAGGAGCAGAAGCCCCAGCTCAAGCCAGTGTGTCCCGGGGTGGAGGACCTGGAGGGGGCCTGACGCCCACCCGGAAACCTGAGGCCAACTCAGCTGAGATGCCCCAGGACTGCGTGAGGCAAGGCTCAGAGAGGGCAGGCGCATGCCTGGTGGTGGCCAGTGTGGACACCGAGACACTCTGTTCCTGACAGCAACTGGGCTTGGTGACCTTTGAGATGGGGATGGCTGCCCTGCCCACTCCCAGGTGCACAGGGAAGGAGATGGGTGGAGGGCATGCCTCTCTGCCCAGAACACAGACCCTGGAGGAGACTCCGTGCAGACTGCAGTCCCTCTCCTGCCACTGCGAATTTATTCCCAACTCTGGGGACAGAACCCAGGGCCTTCCCAAGCTTCCTCTGCCCTGGGCTACAGCTCCAGACTTTATATTTTGAGACAGGCCTCGATGAGCTGCCCAGGCTGGCTTGGGATTTGTGGTCCTCCTGCCTCAGAGTGCTGAGCAGCTGGGATCATGGGGTGGGGGCACCAGGCCTGGSTGACACTTCCATTTTACACTGAGCAGGGGCCTCTTCACTCAGGAAGGGGCTGGAGGGCTAACCTGGCTGAGATCCCTGGTGCAATCTAGAGCCACTGACACTTCACACACCTCCTGGGGACAAGGACCCTGGCCCTCCAAGTTACTCCAGCTCAAACATTCCAGGATCATCATCCAGGTCCCAGGCAGCTCACCTGGAGATCCTCCTGCAGGTGGACTGTCATTCTGCTCCCTGAAGAGGCTCGAGGGTCCATCTCATCTCTGTGGACCAAGCGGAATCAGCCCTCAGGGGTCTTCTGCCCCTGCAGAATGTCAGATTTTGAAACCAAGTCCCCGTGGGCATCAAACATCATCTCGGTCCCATCCTGAGGCCATGGAGAAGCTGGGGAGGAAGGGGGATGCTGTAGGCTGGCCAGGGATGGCCAAGGGCACTGGGCCCAGGGGTGAGCGGGCAGAGCTCCAGGCAGGGCTGACGGGCCCGCTGGGCACTGGGCACCAGAACCTGTGGTGTTTGCCAGGGCTTACAACAATCTTAGAACTTTAACTTCCTGTAAAATCAGAAGGAAAGTCACTAAAGTAACCATGAAGAGTCCACATCAGGCTGTGTTTATAGCAAGACAGTCACAAACTTACTACTCAACGTTGTAGGGTGGATGGAGGACTGCATGGACATCCTCATGCACCCTGGCTCGGGGGGCGCCTGGGCTGGGACACCCACCCTCTGCTGACAGGCCTGGAGGAGCAGCGTCCACGCAGGCCCACCTGGGTCCCCATTGCACACACCTGGGCATCGTCATCGCCCTGGGTGCCGACCTACGTTGTCCTGCTTTGTGATGAGTTTCTGGAAACTCACACATGGAGGTGGAGTTGCCAGACAAAACACAGCAGTCTCTGCCTTGAATCCCACTGAAAGAGTGACTCCTTCCAGCAGAGCCACCCCCCACGCAGTGTTTGGGAGACGCTGAACTAACAGGTGCCTGACGGTTATCTGAAGTTCAAACTCGCACAAAGCACACGTACGCAAAGGTCATACGTTGTTGGTCAAAACTCCAAATTCGGAACACGCTTTTGCTGTCTACCTAGAATGTGTTCCACTGGGATCCGGTGTCTGCTAAAGGGAGCCACCCCACAGAGATGTGCCTCACCTGCAGCAGGGTGACAGCAGGGACTCTGGCACCCTGTCCAGTGCTCCGGTTAGGACGCAGACCACAGGCATCGAGCTGGGCGGCGTGGGTTCTGCTCGGCCTCTGGAGCTTGGCAGAGTGAGCGCCCGCCTCCACCCCTCCCTCTCACCTGCCAGGGCAGGAAGTGCCCAGAGTCTGCACACGTCCCATCCCAGGGCTCGCAGGCCACCAGGTCCTGCAGGGCGTGGGCGATGCTGTAGACGGCACTTTGCTCACTTTCCAGAAAGAATACTCCTGGCTTCGCAGAGCCGGACAACCCTTGCCACTGCGCCATTCTTGTGGGGCCACGTGCACTCAAAAGTGTCCTCCCAGGACCTCTGTATGAACACGTCCTCTGGGGCCCGGCTGGGGTGCAGGGGAGCCAAGAACTCGGGGAGGCCAGGCACCCGGCTGCTGTGAAACATGAGGCCGCAGGGGCCCTGCAGGACCTGGGAGACGCCCGGCACATCGAGGGCCGTGGCCAGGTGCAGAGTGCCCTTGCTGACCCAGACTTGGCCTGAGACCCGAAGACCCAGCAGCCCCTGCCAGATGAGCAGGAAATTTGAGTGGCTCAGGAAAACCAGAACCACCACTGCTGGGAAGGGACCTAGAGCTGGACCTCGAGGCAGATGCCAGCCTGGCTCAGCTCCTGGGCAGCCAGAGAGCTGGCCTGCTGCCCAAAGTCATCATCCTGGGCCAGAATGTCCACCCAGGTCCATCGAAAGTGGAGCACCAGCTGGGTCACCGTTTAGGAGGACACGAGGTCACCGGCCAGGGTCCGGAGGAAGGATGGGAACTGGGTCTTGTCGCTGAGGATGGGCAGTGTGGATGAATAACTGACCTGCAGGGCAGGGGGAGAGTGCAGATGAGAAGCAGGACTCAGGCTCAGGCCCTCAGATTGGAACTGCAGAAGGTGGACACCCTGACAGAGAAGGAGTGGCCAGTTCGCCCCCAGTTGCCCTGGACAAGTTTCCCAGTTTTGTGGCTCTCAGAAGCGTCGCCTGAGCACACCGGGCAGCTGGTCACCCAAGCTGGAGCACAGCTGGGTGCAGTCATCTCCCAAGAAACCTGAGTGGCAGCTGCCAGACGGCTCAGCCCCAGCTCTCCCAGGCTAATGGGACCTTGGGGTTGGGGGGCTGGGTGGGAAGGAGGTCCTGGAGTCTGTACCTGTCTCCCAGTCAGTTATGGCCCTTGGTATGCACCTGTGCAGGCACTGAGCCGCTTGTCTCAAGTGGGTGACCTGTGTGCCGGGAGTCACCTCTCAATCCCCATCATGAGGTGAAAAGACGAGGTGGCACGTGGAAGTGCCACCAGAGTGGGACTCGGAGAGGCGGTGGTGAGTGACGCTGTGGCAGGAGTCCGGGGTTGGCCTGGCCTCAGACCCTGGCTCCTGGACCTGCAGGCTGGGTGAGCACGGCCCCTCTGGCACCTCCTCTGATCCTCAGCTTCCTCCGCTGTGCAGGGGCAGGGCCAGCACGGTCAGCACCACCCCAGTCAGCACAGACTCGCTGCCAGGGAGAGGCTCTGGGGAGACTCACCTGGGGAGACTTGCAGAGCCCCAGCAGCCCGGCCACGGAGACCGTCAGGACTGACCGCGTATCCCCACCACGGCCCCCGGGGCAGGCGGAGTCCACAGGCATGGTTGGGATGGGCTCCTCCTGCCCCGTGAGAAAGCTCAGCATGTCCAACGGGCTCCGTGCACAGTCCCCAGATCTTCGGATGGAGAAGCCCAGGGTCAGGTTGGGCAGCAGGTGGACGCTCCTGTTGATCTCCTCGATGGCAAAAACAAAGCCCTGGGCCACCCGGTAGCCCCACAGGGACACACTGAGGGAAAGAAGCCCATGTTTATGGCTGGCCACAGGCAGGAAGCGGCTCCTGGGCGTAGGGCAGAGGATAGGGACATGCACATTCCAGGAAACCAGCATAGGCCCCGGGATGGCCTCCTCAGGACAGCTGCAGGGCAGGGCAGGGCAGGAGAGGGCCAAGCCCGGAGCACTGCAGGGTGACCACAGAGAGCCCACCAAGGTGTCTCAAAGTCTCCAGGAAAGCGCCTGTAAATGTCCACCTCACCAGAGGTGGGATCAGAAGGCCAAGTGCAGGCGTGCCATGGTGGACACGAGGGCAGCACACCCCAGGGGACCCACACAGGCCCAGACAACCCTCGCCAACAACAGAAGCCAGGCGAGAACAACGGGSGTCTCTTCATTTCCAGGGACAAAGCAAATGCGTGCAGTTATTTTGGGAAACAATTTGGCAGCTTTTTTCTAGTTCTCAGAAGGGAGCCCAGCGGTGGGCCACCACTGACCCACACCCCAGGCCTTTCTGTGCTTGCTTTTGAGGCAGGGTCTCGCTCAGGTGCCCGGGATGGCTGGGAACTGCCTCCTCCAGACTCAGCTCCCGGCTGCTGGGATCACAGGTGAGCGCCCCCAAACCCCGCGACAGGCATCTTAGCGACCTAAACAGGCACATGTTCAAACTCAGCCAAAGGGCTGCGCTGGGAACAGGGCATCCGGGCCCAGACCAGGTGCAGACACACAGGCCAGGGGCCACAGGTGCTGCCGGCTCAGGAGGGGAGCAGGCCACAGGGACCGGTGCGTCACCAGCACTCCGAGGCCCAGGGGAGGCCCTGCTGAACACGGCGCGCGAAGGCCATGTCTTTCCTGTGGCACACACCAGGACGCAGTGGCCCAGCAGCCACAAACCACAGCTGGCCCTCTAGACAAGGGACATGCTGAGGAGGTTCCCAGGGGACCACCCACCTCCACTGGRCACAAGCAGAACAGACGCTGACAAAGGCTCTAGGGGACCACCCACCTCCACTGGACACACACACAGGACAGACCCTCAAGAAGGCCCTAGGGGACCACCCACCACCACTGGACACACAGGACAGACCCTCAGGAAGGCCCTAGGGGACCACCCACCACCACTGGACACACAGGACAGACCCTCAGGAAGGCCCTAGGGGACCACCCACCACCACTGGACACACAGTGTGCAGGGACAGCGCCCAGGGAGGCCACTTCACCCCGCAGGGCGTCAGGCTGCGGTTGGCGGGGAACCTCGGCCCTGACCCGTCAGGTGGGCGTGTGCCATGGCCATGCGTGTCCTCCGGAACCCAGGCCCTTCCCGGTGCCCTGGGCCGGAACGGCAGCGCAGCGGGGGGTCTCGAGGGGGCGCGCTGCGAGCCTCCGCAGGGATCCGCCCTGCGACCCGCAGGAACGGCCGCTCCACGAGCAGCAGAACCCGGCCACCTAGGCAGACCGCAGCGTCCAGAACAGGCGACTCCACGGGGACAGAGCGCGGCGTGGTGGCCAGAGGCGGCGGGGGACGCTGGGGGCACAACTGGACACAGCTGACCCCTGGACGAGGGTCCATGTTCCAGTCTGCGTGCCACCTGAGTCCCCAGACTCCACCACTGACACTCTGCTGCCCACCGAAGCCGAGCTGACACGACGTGGAGTCACACGTTTTCAGGAGCGTCACCAGGGCCAAGGCTCTGGAAACCCTAGGTGCCTCCCACAGTGACAGCGCACTGCGGCCGGCCACCAGGGCCGGGAGAGCAGCACAGCACCTCGGGGACTCTGGTGACACCTCCCCCACAGAACTTCAAGGGATACTTGATGCCTGTCACAGCTCCTCAGGGGACACTAGGACACCTGTCACAGAGCACTTCAGGGGACATTTGTGATGCCTGTCACAGAACCTCAGGGGACACTCACAATGCCTGAGAACGCTAGGGACACCTGTCACACAGCTCTTCAGAGGACACATGAAATCTCTCAGCTCCTCAGGGGCACTAGGTCAGCCTGTCACACAGCACCTCAGGGGACACTAGGTACACCTGTCACACAGCACCTCAGAGGACACTAGTTATGCCTGTCACACAGCATCTCAGGGGACACTAGGTACACCTGTCACACAGCACCTCAGAGGACACTAGTTATGCCTGTCACACAGCTCCTCAGGGGTTCTCACCATGCCTGTCACAGTACCTCAGGAGACACTGGTGATGCCTGTTACCCAGCACCTCAGGGGACATTCACAACACCTGTCACAGCAGCAGGAGGTGCTACATACCTCAGTACCACACAGTTCCATGCCATTGATGTGACACTACATCTCAGGTCCATCCACACTTCCCCAGGCTGGGCTGCTGCATGCCCAGCCTGTAGGTGTCTCTGCAGAGTTTGACAACTTCTCACTCTTTATAATAGATTCGTATATATTCTTGATAGTGGATAATAAAAGACTATTTAATCTAATATTCAATACATTCATGACACCTTCCTCTAATTTTTTTCAATATTTCTAGACTACAAGGTTCATCTTTGAGTTTTTCCAAATTGTCAAAAATATCCAAAACACACACACACACACACACACACACGAGAACCCCTGTGTGAGTGGACCTGTGCGTTTCCAACCCAAATTGTCAGGGACCCACCATATGCCAAAACATTGAACTGCACACTTAGTTAACTTGACGGTACGTGAATTTGTAAATCAGCTAAAAGCAGAATGACTGCTTGCTGGGGTCTGGGAGGGCCAGAAACGGGCTCGTTTTGAGTGAATTTCATCTCCATGAAGCGGCCGTGATGCAGAGACAGAGGGGAGACAGTACAGCTCACCACTTTGGGAAACCGCCCCAGGGAACAGCCTGGGGGCACTGGCCACCACGAGCAGGCGGAGGCATGGACTCACATCCACACAGGAGGACAACACTGCGGCCCACTCAGAGGCAGCCCACAGGGCCCACGGAGCTGCTACTTCGGCCACAGAGGGTACACTTTACAGTTGAGAGACTGCATTCAGGCTGCCCCAACTTGGCACAACTGATGTTTTGCACCAAATYACTCTTTGTGGTCGGGCTTTGTCTGCTCTGTGGGCTGTTGTAGCAGCCTCCTGAGGGGGTAAGTCTGGCATTGAGATGCAGGTGGACCTCCCCCTTAGGCTCTGCCAAAGATCCCACATAGCACCTGAGATGGGTGTGACCTGCCRAGATGCCARTCAACCTGCTGACTGCAAGACATCACAAGCAAACCTTGTCCCTGCCTTGGATGGACCCCCTTTAATAAACCACCAGAGCCATTTTGCCTTTGTCCAGTTCCAGAACCCACGTGGACCAGGTCTATCAGGGGCTTCGCATTCCATAAATATATTTCTGAGTATATGTGCTTTGTTATTTGCTGATTATTTGAGACTGTAATTCTTCGGGTGGTTTGGGTCATCCTGGGCAGGAAGAAGGACCCCTTAATGAGACACTGGCCATCATCCCCCCAGAGGGGCTGGCTAGTGTAATATAGAATGTTTAGCAGGATTTCTGGGCTCAATCAGGTGACACCAAAATGACCCCTTGTCCTAACCATGTCCGTCTCCAGACATTGCCAAATGTTGTGGGGCAGAGTGGAAAACTGGCCCCAAATGAGGACCAGAAGACCTCCCCATGGGTTGGAATCCGTGCAGAAAGGCACAGGCCAGTGGCTGAGTTGCAGCTCTGCTCAGCAGTTCTGGGGTGTTTAGCATGTTCTCACAGCTGCACAGCCGTCACCACCATCTCACTCCAGAACATACTCACCACCCAAACAAGCCCATTTCTTGCCCTCCCAGACCCCAGCAAGCAGTCATTCTGTTTTTAGTTGATTTATTTTTGAAACTGGGCTTTTGAGTTAGACTTCATTTGGGATAAAGTTTTGCTGCTTACAAAAAGTTTGTAAATCTTTGTCTGGCACTAGGCTACCTCCCAACGGATCTGGGATTCAGGTGGCCTCTGATGGCTGGTGTCTTTCACCTCGACTCTAGAGACAAACTAAATTGATAGGGACATTTCCAAGTGGCTTGGAGACATGAATGCACAAATGAGCCATCATGGGCCTGAAGGGCCACGCCAATTTTAACCACCAAGAGAACAAACCGGGGGACCCATGCCACTCCAGATGCTCATTTGTAGGAAGGAGAATAATGAGCTCTCGGCACCCGACTTCTTTCTTCCCACCTGTGGCTCTTACACACAGTGAGTGGTGTGTAGAGTACTCCAGTCCCCATCCCTCCAGGAACTCCTATGTCCAGGCCTTTACACTTCCTGCAGGTCTCTTCTGTGTTTACTGACAGGAGCCAGCCACACTGTGGCCTCTGGAAAGGTCAAGGCCCGTCAGTCCACTCTCAGGGCCCAGAAGGCACTGTCTACCTGGGCATTTGCTAGCAGCTCCTGGTGGATGCTCAGGCTCCAATCCAACCTCTGCAGGGGAGTTCCCATTGCTTCCCCTACTCACACCCTCCTGCTTCCTCATCTCCACACTGGGCAGCTCGGTCCCAGCTCGGTCCCAGAGCCAGGGAGCCTCCCTGAATCCTTTTCTCAGTTCTCATTAAATCGCACTTTTCAAGTGAATCACTCTTGAGTGTATGTGCAAATACAGCATTGGGACCATACCGTAATATACTATTAGTATTTAAAAACAGCTTCAGTGTTGGAGTCAGCATAAGAACTCTCCAAACACAGGTCGGGTGACATGGTAAGACACTACTGTCCCCTCACGCAGCGTGCAGTGTCAGTGCTCAGCATCAGCCTGTCTCAACCACAGAACGCGGTTCACCTGAGACTCAAAGCTGGGCTGGCACTGTCTCGGACTTTTTAAAACTCTATTCTGGCCCTTACTTATAGAGTATATTAAATCACATAAAACAGACCTTCTTTTCCATTTACGGAGTGGGCGACAGACGCAAGTGAGCCCGGCGCGGTGGTGCCCACCTGTGGTCGGTGGCTGGGGAGGGGGCTCAGGGAATCTGCGTTTCAGTGGCTCTGCCGGTCAATGGCTGCGTCTACCCCCTGCTCTGGGACAGAGGTCACACGGCTGGTGTGGCTCAAAGAGCCGAATCTGGAACACCCCGGCCCTCCGGTCACCTGCCGCCAGGTCCCGCCGCGAAGCTGGCTCACCCGGGGCCCCCGGACCCCAGGAGACCCGGGCGGGCATCAGCGGCCACCGGGCCAGGCCGAGCCCGCCCTGCCCGCCGGCGCCGGAGCACCTTCCGCGGCCGCCGAACGGGGGTCGGAATTGCGCGGGGCCGTGGCGCGCACTGGGCTCCGGGGGCGCTGGCCGCCGGGTGAGCCTCCGGGAGGACGTGGGAGACGCCGCGCCCCCGGGCCCTGTCTGCCGCCACCACGCCCCACGCCGCCTGCAGTCGGTCCCTGACCCAGAGCCCCGCGCCGGGGCTGCCGCGCGGCACCTGCCCGGGGGTCCCTCTCACAGCCGGAGAGCTCCCTGGCCTTGCCCCGTCGGGCCGCGGGCACCCGCCACCCACAGCGCCTTCCGCCAGGCGCGCCCGGCACCCTCGGCCCGGGACCCTGGAGAGCGCCGAGGCTGAGGGTGGTGAGCACCGGAGAGCAGACCTTAGGGCACAGGACACTGCTGGCAGCTGTGAAAGGCGTCCGTTTCCAAACTAGAACAGATCCCAGGGTCAGGTATTTTTCCTGGGGCCCCTTGCAGAGGTGACTAGGTTAGGAACTGGTCAGGGTGTCGGTGGCCGGGCAGTAGGCTCCTCGGCACCTCCTTCCCCTGCTTGTAAACCCACACCAGAGCCTGGGAACAGTGAGAAGCACCGCAGACATTTCAGGAGAGAAAGTCACACGTGCCCCTGGTGTTGACCACCTGTCAG